GTTTAGGGTTTAGGGTTTACGCACACACACACACACGTGTACTCTATCGTGATGGTGAGGATGATCATCATATATGCATCATGCACCATGGTGATTGCATCACTGTCGTCACCCGGCTAGCGTTACTTAATTTAGGGAAATCGGGGCGCCACCCGCAAACCAAAAACCCACGAACAACTAAACCCTAAACCTCCCGTGGCCCATAAACCCCTACGCAGTATGAAAGGACACCCTCAAGCCGGAAGCTCGAATTCCAAAACCCTTCTGCGAAAACCCTAAACCCTTAATTGAATCCCGGCCTCATATCTCGCATGTGGTTGAATCATCGATCGGCTACACAAGCTTGGGGTAATTAGGCGGGTCTGCGAAAAGCCTGAGCTTCACTACGTATCTCGCAATCTTTCCGTTCGAAGGCCTGTAGTTTAGAGGTTTAGGGCTTAAAGTTTTAGAGGCTCTAAGCTTACGGCTGGTATCTGCGAACAGCTTGTTCGGAGGCTTGGGAAAGGCTTGGGATTCGAAGCTTCAGCTTGAGTGTTGAAGTACTTAAATTCAGGCTCGCGGTCAAGCTACGGGTGTCTTGGGCTTCGAAGCTTCGGGTTGAGAGTTGAAGCACTTAATTCAGGCTCGGGGAAAAGCTACGGGTGTTTTGGGCTTCGAAGCTTCGGCTTGAGAGTTGAAGTTTGTTGAGGCTCGGGGTTAAGCTGCGGGTGGGCCGGGTTTGCCTTTTCACGGCTCCGCTAAGCTGGCGCGGTAGGCGTTAAAGTGCAAGAGCCACCTCTGTAAGGCGCGCCTGCCCACACTAGAGGCATGAAGGCTACCCCGGATCATCCTTGTAAAAACCCCTATGTAGTCTTCTTCTGTGAAACATGCCGAATTGCGAGCATTCCAGTATGATGTGTCAGATCGGCATATCAGGCCACAATGTAGCTGATGCAGCTTGGGTCTGACTTTAAACCTCAGCTGCCCTATAAGATTTACCCCTAAACCCTAAACCCGAAACGGCACGTACACAAGAACCTAGCTTATCTCATTTCAGAAGATGCATAGCCTTATAACATGGAATCCTGAAGCTGAATTCATAACCAGAAACAATGGTTTGCAATCCATCAGGGCTTGCGCCCCCAGAGCGACGTAGGTCTGGACAAATAGCCGCCCAGTCCTCATCATTATTTGAAGCTAACTTACAATAATATGATGATTCTATAACGAAGAGTGCTTTATCGTTTTCGGGTTCCTGGTGTGAGATATAATTGTCTATCATTATATATAATATGTAGGGGTTTCCAAACCAGAAATCAGGGCGGAATCAGGGATATACATACACACATACATACATACACACATACATACATACATACATACATACATATATTTACGCACATATACATAAAGCCTTAAAGCCCCAATCCTAGACCCCAAACCAAACCCCCGCGAGGCCCCAATCCTAAACAACATTTTGATTAACTCATGCGCTACACACCCAATCACTGCAGGGCTCTGGGATTATTATAAGGGATAGGGCTAGGGTTTAATCAGATTTTAGATAATCTGATGCATCGCTTGGCTTCGGTTCGGCATGGTTCCTACAACAATATTTTTGAAAGATTGAACAGAAACTTTTTTTCGGCGACCGAGCATCTCCCCGAAAGCTTTCCGCTCGGACTCTGTAAACCAAAGGCCAGCTTTGTCGCAAATGTTCGACATTCTGTGCACAGCCCACGCGCACGTGTACTCCATCTCCATACCAGGAAGCTCCTGGGACATTTCACATCTAGCTAGAAATTTAAGCTAGACTAGATACTGGCATTATGTAGGGTTTCGGATGGTGTGGTACATATAATATGATTGGTTACAAGGTTTCAAGGCTTTCGGTTTGAGATGTTTAACAGAAAGGGTAAAACGAATCTTGCCGAAATCTGCCCAACTGCCCGCAAACGGTCGGCAAAGTATGCAATCCTTGCAAACATCGAATCTATCCATCGGTTACACTGCAGCTTACACAATAACAATAACAAATAAATCTTTGTGTGCAATACATGGCTCATCACTTTGTTCTCGTAGGCCTTGGCTGGCCCATTTGGAAAGTCCAGCGACACGGCATCCACACCCATTCTCGACAAGCCTTAGCCCATATATAATGGTGGACAGGTGCGCGATGGTACGTTCACACATATGCGAAAACTAATCTGCATGTTTGACTTATTTCCTCAAGATACTGATCTCCTCGATGGTCGAAGGTTTCATGCCGTTGTCTTGGCACCAAAGCTGCATGTCGCGTCGAAGTGTGGTAAGCCTTTCGTCATACGTTGCACCAGTAAGAAATTTCGAGGCCACCAACATGCACAAACTTCCGTTCAAGTCACGGCAACTGCCCAACCAGCAGCAGTGCAGCAGGTCAGGAACTTCCATCTCAGGTTGCCACCCCGAAAGGTTTTTCATGTGGATGTCACCTACAGCAGTAGCCCGTGCAGCCTGTAGATCGGCTGGATTGTTGAATCTCTCGAGACATGGGTCCAGCCAACTAGTTTCCGTGGATCCAGCCAGACACCTCGCACACAGGCCGTCCTTGCCAGCATAATTCCCATAAAATCTCGTTTGTTTCAACCACTCCTTGCGCCACTTCCAGTCGCCCTTGCCAGCGACGACATGGACAGTAAAGCCCAGGCCATTGTCTCTGTCGGCGCAATGGTTTAAGGATTCAACAAGACACTGCTGGAGGTGCTCCAAAGACACGTTGTCGCCGGCTGCATTGTGATGCATCACGTCGCTTTTCATTACCTGATTCCGGGATTGGTGGTTTGAGCAAGTGTTTCAATCTTAAGATTCGGATTTGTTCTGGAGATTTCAACAAAACACACTGAAAGCAAACGCTGGAATTACACAAAGCAGCATAAAAGCATTCTTTTTATATAGCATGAGACGACGAATGGAAACTTCGTGACAAAAGGGATGCCGTGGTTTCCCAAAGGTGACCAGTTGATGACGAGGACATTGCGTGTGCGCTTCGCCTGACCCTCGTCGCCATGTATTGTTATGGCGTACGCTTTCGATCTGCTGGCTTCGTCCCATTGTTGTACTGGGTGGTGCCTAGATTCAAACTCAAGCCAACATTGTAAAACACGCAAAGTCTAGTAGAGAACAAGAACAAAAGAATATTTGTTGATGCAGGGCACAATCCCCAATCTTCACGAGCGGCTTGCTTCCAGAATGCCACCCAGTTGATGGGTCCACTGAGCCTCAGAACAAGCCCCAGCTGAAGATTTTCGACATCTAAAACACATTCGCTCGAACACACCCAACAAGCTCGTATATTTGAGGCCAGCCACAACTCTTGTTCCAAGCCGGCAGCATGTATGGCTTTGCACACATCATATGGCATAAGAACGGGCCACATCTGAAATCGACTTGGCTCGGGTGCTGCATTTACACTCTTTTTTTTTGCACGTATTTGTAATGTCATCTTCAGCAGCGCTCGTCTCTTAGCAGTAGCTTTACGCTTTCGGGAGCGCAAATTCACCAAGCTGGCATCTTTCAGCAGAACGGACACAGTCGTCAGCGGAATTTTCAAAGTGGCCTCAGATGCTGATTGATGGGTTTGTATTACCTGGAACAACCATTATATTCGGAGCAGAGAGTATTACACTAATCATTATACAGATTTCTCACAAAGTAGGAAATGCATTTGATTTCAGATCAAGCTCTGCACAAAATTTCGGGTTCATATGTTAAGCACCAGCAATGCAACATGGACACCGCTAGCTGCAGATGAGTCTCATCCTTGGCGGACAACGCCGCCCGATGCAAAGATTCTTCGATATGATCGGGTCGTTTCCCCGAGCTTCCCAGACCAGACATCCAGGCTGTACCTTGGGATGCGTATCGTTCCATATGCATTGAGAACATAATCGGTTGTTCCCCTAATCACCAAAAAATCGACGACCTGAATTCGTAAAATCAAGCGAGCGACTCGGTGTAACATTCTTGATCCCCGACTCACATACAGCTGCATGAGCAACCCTTTGCATGTCGTGGGCTGCCTGGCCTTGACCAACATTCCTCGAAAGAGCCCGAGTCAAAGGCGACTGTGTAAACGAGAAAGCATCCGATCTCGCTTTGGGCTGAGCTTGCCCTCCCTCTGGCTTCCTTGCCAGCCGTGTAGCATATTTCAACATCGTACATGCTAGAGCAGAACATCGGCGCTGCTACATTGTGTAGTCCTTTCTTGGGTGGACATTTGAGAGCTTGATCTTTCCGGTTAATTAGGGTTTAGGGAGTTTAGGGTTTAGGGTTTTGGGCTTCACATACACTGTTAAGTTTAAGACTTGGGCTTCAGGATCTCGGGTTTAGGGCTTAGGGGTGATAGCCAGTGATAGGTTATAGGGATTTAGATGAGATCTGAAAATGAACTTGGGTTTTGGTTTTGGCTTTAATTCTAAGGGCTAATGGTGAAAGACTGTCGGCTGTGCTTTTAGCCCCAGCAGCTGATGCAACAGCAAGACTCAATCTAGACGGTCACAAGACATCAGAACAGCAGGCCGTGCACAACTGGATCAAACTGAAGCTGTGAAGCCTTTTGTCGAGAGAGCCAGCCGGTATGGCAATATGTCGCATATCGCACGAATGCTTTCGTGTTCGAACATGTTCCCCTAGCCCCGATCCACTATGTTGTTCTATAGCCCACGGCTTTGCCAACGAGCCCGAACATAGTTTGAGGCCCGCAAGCCCCACCCCCAGCCTTCATCCTTTCAATTACAACTAGAACCTACAGGAGGCCCCAGCAAAACGTAGAGTAGTCCTAAGTGTCATATATTTTAGCAGAAAGCTCGAAGACTCTATGGGGTGCGGCGGTTCCCAAAATCAAAACATGGCGTCTAGCCCTCGGGGTTGGCCGCCGGCGCTTTCGCTGACGGCTTGGCCTTCTTCTTCGGCTGGGATTCCTTTTTTTGGCCGCTGATCCTGGGCATTTCGGATAGCAAGCTCTATAGGGGTGTTTGTTTATGAATCGTATCATGTACTATTTTATGTTTCAGGGCTGATATGTTTTAGGGAGTAGATTTCGTGGTTTTGGGTGAAGGGTAGAAGGGTACAGGGGGTTTGGTTTGGTTTAGGGTGAAGGGATATACGGGTTGGGTGTATAGAAAAGGGGTGTAGGTTCGGTTTAGGGGTATGAAGGGATACTGTTTAGGGTCAAGTGAAGCCGGCTTGGGGCCCAGACCCGCTGAAAGCTCGTGAATCCGTAAAACCCTTTGACCTATAAATCAAGCACTACAAAATGTCATTCCCACATCATCGACCCTAGACTGCCCATATACTTTGGAGATCCTATTACAAGCCCCCATACGTGGATTTTCGATTCGTGATCCCTTGAGGTTTTTGGGAGTTTTATACGATTGCTTTCCGGGCTCGAGGTTTAAGGTTGTTTGGGTTTGAGGGTTTGGGCTCTTGGAATATCAGCATAAGAGGGAACAAAAGGAACTGTGGTCAACAATCGCAAAGCCTCAGAATCTCTGCTGCAGCAAAGTTTCAGATTGTTGGCAACTTTGACATGCTTCTTGTAGGCGACGACAAACGGAGCTGCCTGGCGCAGGTGGTAGTATTAGGATTTTGAATTTAGGGGTACAGGTACAGATATCTAGATGACATTGAGGAATATGATGTTTTGCCTGGGAGAGGATTCTCTGCACGTCATCAGCAAGTGCATTTGCCCCCAGGGATTGCAAAGCTTTGCGCTTCTCACCCAAGCCATTCTTGGCGTCCATGATCAGCTTAATCAATGCGTCCTGGCTTTCCAGGGCCTCCAGCCTTAAAGCAAAACACGCATAGCTAGAATTGCTCGTGAAACCGAAATAAGACAGCACGAAACTTTTGCAGCGATGTAGCACACGTAGTTGTGGCCTTTCCTTCGGCATTTGTGCATGCACTGACCCAGGCATTGATGAACCCTGGCACATCCGTGTCTTCCAGCAGCTGGACCTCCATCTCGGAGCCCTGCCACAGATTGGTGTTGGATAGGCTAGAGGCGGGTTTAGGGTTTAGGGCTTAGGGGTTTTAGGGGTTTTAGGGGTTTTAGGGGTTTAAGGGTTTCGGGGTTTAAGGGTTTAGGGGTTTAGGGTTTAGGGAATTCGATACACATGTAACTGGTTCAACTTTCGCACACTCTTGCAGGCCTGCGGTTTGGCTGGGCGGGCTTTCTTATTGGGCTTGGTGTCCGCGGGGTCGGGTTTGAGAGTCACAGGTCCCGGGTTCGTGGCATCAATACTGTTAGCCGAGTTGGATCGTGTGGGTGGCGCATGATGAGCCCCCTGTGCATTCGGTTCGTTGCCCTTGAAAGTCTCCATGAGTTCAACAGCCACAGCAGCATCGGCGCCCAAAGACACCGATATCTCGTCCTGATGTGAATTTTGGCATGTGCACTCCTATAGCAAGATGTATGCATTAATTCGTGGCAGTCTATTTCTGTAGCCAGGTTTCCAAGCTACGGGTGGTCAAGCAACGGCGTTCTCGCTGGTAGTACAGAAACGTCTCGACGTTGGGGTTGTTGCGGCACCTAGATGTCCTCAGCAAAGCTATGAGAAAATATCATAAGGAATCCAACTTAAACCCAGTCCCCAACAAAAAAATTGGGGGGTTGTCAGGATTTCAGGAGGCTTTAAAGTCTTCATCGTGGATAGAATTCCACTAGTGTACATTGAGTTACAACCGAAAAGCTTAAACCCTAACCCTATAAAACCCTAAAACCGTAAACCTTAAACCCTAAAACCCTAAAACCCTAAGGCCCTATACCTACCTAAATTACCTACGTATATACCGAACAACCCTAGCGACATCCCTATTTTAATTACGGCTTAGGGTTCAGAGTCGTCCAGGGTTTAGGTGTACCGATATTACCGACCCTCAGGTTGTTTAAGAACTTAAAGAATTAGGGTGTTGGGGTCTTTAGAATTTCGGTGTTGTATGCATAGAAGAAGCCCCTTGGGTTGCGATCGTCGCATCCTGCAAAAGGCCTCCGTCTTGTCCTGATCTTTCTGGAAGAACTCGTAGATGTCGCCGTACGGGTAATAGTGTCCTGCCGATATAAGACTTTTCTATATATAGGCTCGGAGAAGAGGCACAACAGTAGAAATCACGTGAGAGTTCTCTCCTTCGTCCTCTTGCAAATCCTCTGACTGCTTCTTATACCGGAGGACGGCTTCCAGAGCCAGCCCATTGCCTTTTTTTTGTAGGGATAATGCGAGGAAGGAAGCAATATACACAATAGTACGTTGGCTTTGATTCAGTCCAAGCCACACCCTGCTTTGACAAACTTCGCGAAAGCTTGCATCTTGAAAGCACCACCTTTCCTCAGCAGAACATACTTCTAACATCGACAAATTGAAAACCGTAGTTCGCAACAAACAAGCCATCTCAGAATCTGACGAGTAAGCAGCCTTCAGTTCGCTCGCAGCTGGGTTGGACTCGCAAAAACGGCCGAACTCTTTGTACTCAGCAGGATGTGTTGAGGAGTTGATGCGATTCGCCATTGGGGGAGCAGAAGGGGCCACGGCAGGGGCCAGAGCAGGCATGGGGACTGCTGGGGCCGGAGCGCCGGCTGGTGGGGCCGGAGCACTAGCAGCAGGGATCACTTGTACTTTCGCAGCAGCCGGTTCGTCTTGGTTTGGCTTCGGCGGTGGTGGGCTAGCTTGCCAAGCCGGGTTCACAACAGCAGGTGGCTGCATTGCTAACACCATCTCTCGGGCAAGCTTTTCGATAAGGGCACTCATGTCGGGGCTGAGGGCCTCTGGAGCTGTTGTTTTGGGCTCTGCGGCTGGGGTGGGCTCAGCTGGGTTGGGCGCTGCATTTGCAAGCTCAGGAATAACCATTGGCAGCTCGGTTGCAGCCGGGGAAGCAGTGCTGGGCAACTCGGCAGGGGTCGCCGGCGGCACCTGGATCGGCACATTAAGCTATGGGCCTTAAGAACCTAATTCTTCAGGGCTAATATTACGGGTAGGATTGGGAGTTCATATGCAAAAACCAAGATCCAAACCCGACATAATGAGATCCAGGGGTTGATGGTTTCGGAGTGGTCGTGGGTTATTCGGCAGGACTAGGCATTAGGATTGGCGAATGGGGAGACTAGCAAGTCTATATTATATTAGGATTGGAAAATTGGTTTGGGCGTGAGGTCTGGGACACGGGATTTGTATACAGGGTCCTCAAAATTGAGGGATGAGGAGACTTTCTACTATAGGGTTTAGAGTTTTGGGGGTTAGGGTTTAGGGGAGGGTTTAGGGTTTAATTAGGGGAGGGTTTAGGGTTAATTTAGGCGTGGGGTATCAGGATTGGCAATTAGCTTTGGCTTCAGGTCTGGGGCGAGGGATTTATATAGAGGGTCCTCAAACTTCAGC